TGCTCTTGCCCCATGCATTGATAGCCATTGGTTTAATAATATATTGTCGCTACCTGCTAGGAATCGCCCTGGGTTTGTATTTGTTTTACGATGGGTCAGGTGACCTTTAGCACTATTTTTCTGCAGCGGACGCGTGGGCCTCGTTAACCGTCCGTTGTATGTGCTTTATTAACTTAATGAGATAAATTCATACGCTAAAATCACCAATGGAGAAATTTTCCAATGAACTGGTATCTGTTGAGGTGGAAAAGTTTATGAGCTCTGCTTGCTTTATGATGATAATTTGTTGTAAATGCCATTCCGGAATTTCCCAAATCCTTAACTTCATATCACTATAGCGTGATCGAAAAACAGGACCGGAACAATAAATACGAATAAAAATGATGTTATGAGAGATACGTGGCGAATATTTCGGTTAATGTGGATATTCCCTTGAATAATAAACAAACGAAAGCGGAACGATTAGGCATACTTTTCTCAAACACACAACAATGCTATTATGTCCACTTTACTTGAGAATGTTATTGTCAGTTAGGCGTTAATTTCAAACGATGGATTTTAAATTGGAAGTTTATATTCTCAAAAGCATTGTCGTCGGAGGACACAGCCTTAGCTGATAACCCACGCGCGTCATAAATGAACGCATCTATCTCATTTTACACCTATCATCTTTTAAGGGTTTCATGGTAATGGGGTCACGGTGATGATATATGAATGATGTTTTCGTGTCGGGAAGAAAATTAAGCGAAACATACAAAGTATTGTGTACATTGTTCCCCTTTTGAATCCATAAACCCGAAAAACCAACGAAAGCATGCGTCTATGTTGAATAGTATTAACCTTGCGGGGAAAGGAAAGTATGTTTGATAGGCTAAACATTAATGAAACAAGAAATGGGTATTCGATGGTGATGTATGATACGGATATCATAGCTGTGTTTTGGTCCTGAAGCAGACCAATATCTAGTAAATGAAACGATTTTACACAAATAAACAGTTGTAAAATCATCTGTATATAATATAATAACATGGAGCCCGGAGACTATCTTCATTTTTAGAAACTGCAATAATCTAGACTTGCCAGCTATTAAAGCCAAATCAGTTAAATAACTTGTTTCATGGTTTTCTTGGGTCGATATTCACAAAATAAATAGTACAGTCGAAGTAATCAGTGATTTGAACTAATTTCTTGAAAACAACATTGACATAAATGTTCATAAACAAAATGCCAGCCAAATGCGATCAAAATAAGTTTCCAAAAGTACATTTCCATCTCCTTCCTTGGTCAGTATGACAAACATAGCTTTACTTGCTGTAACTGTTTATTTGAAACAATTTCTTGTAAACAAAATAATTGACATACAAAATTTAAATTTTTGAAACAAATAACCAAAACGCCAATCAAAGGACAACAAACAAACCGGTTTTCAGAATAAGTGTGCTGTATTCCAGATAAGTACAGCGTGTTACTTTACCATTACCGCGAACACCTGGTGTCATCATTAAATTTCAGTATTCCATTTACATAATCGTCACACCTATTTTTCATTTTTGCGCCAAATGGAGTCTGCTTCATCGGATAATCAAGGTTATTATCTGGCGTTGACGTCTGTTATAGAAAGATTATAGTAAGCTGAGGCCCAATCTTAAAAACCAGAAAACAAATTGTGCTGGCCTCAGAAAATACACCTTTTGGCATTCTCGTACACAAATAATGTTTTGTGTTTTGTGTTCTCTGTAATGTGGCACATCATTCACTGCAAAATCGAAAGTTTGAAACAACACATTTACTGTAGTAACTTCACTGTTGATGTTTGTTAAATATGTTAGGCAACCGCCTCCTCTTTTCAGCTTAACACGGTCAACATTTCAATTTCAACCGGAATATCAGCTCGAGTGTTATTATGTTTATACAACACGCTGTAAATAGTTTAACCATAATGGTTTCATCACTTTTCAACAGTTAAATAGAGAAAAGAAATCGTTTATCGGGTTTCTTTTAAATAAACACTCCTCGCTCCTATTTGTCAGTTCAGTCGCTGGCTGGGATTGGTGACAACAAGTTGAATTGCTGGAGTCAGGTTTATTCGCCGCGAAAGACGTCTACCGGAAACAGTAAGCGGGAAGATCGCAACATCCCTTTGAAACCAGTCCCATCCTTCTAGTGTTAGGCTAACAATTGTCAGTGTGAGGGGGTTAGCCGTGTGTTAACTAGGCTTATATACTCTCAAATTAATGAAGTTCTACAGACTTACAAACTACCGTATGTGAGGGCTTTTATTATCAACGACCCTCTCCCCGGCGCCAACGCTTGGGTATTGGACAAAAGACTTAAACACGTCGCAGACGAGAAGCACAAATATGAAATGAATGTTGGATTGTGCTGTGCTGGGCTCGCCTGCCGTAAAGAGCGTTCAATTGCGATACACAATACAATGTATTTGCTTCATAAAGTCTTTTCACTCTCGAAAACTGTGACTTATTATGGCTTTGATGCGCATGGATGGTTTCACTACGTGGTAACTGTAGATTAATTTTATGTCGATAATTTGTCCCTCATTTGTACATATCTTGTTAATCCTTGTTAGAATTCTGTTTGATGTTGGTTGAGAAGTGGACCTGACCGGCATCTGATCCGACTAATTCGATCAAAGAAGAACACGCAGACAATAATAAGCAGACGATGGTTGAACAATTGGCAGACGACATGTAGACAATGAGCAGACGACAGAAACCCGTACACACGCTACCACCCATATTGGAAGATGCTGAAGCCAGCTCACAAATAATCTTCAGGCCAGTTTTTGTACGAGGTGTGGAGTTCGGGATCCGGGTTTTTCTTATCGTGTTTAACAGTTGTCTGGGTTCTTGTCTGTTGTAATCAGCCATGATAATCGGAGTGGGGGACACAGACATTAGCGAGGAGGTTGCGGATGGGGACAGATTAAGTAGAGATGCTTACGTCTCTTCCTGCTTTTTAATGTTTCGACTTGAAAATCGGAAAGATCCTTGATACGTGATTAAGTAGGATGTACGTCTGAAAGCTGAAATATTTTGACACACCTTGGGTGGCGCTTTCAGATTCGTACTGTTACTTTTTAAATGTGAAATTGATGAGTTGCTGTGATGTGTGATGTGTGATGCTTAATGGGTTCATGTTCAATAGTGTTCTACAAATTAACCGAGTTATTCAATTATAGGTTCGACTATTAGTTGTATCATTCATGTTTAAAGAATACAAAGAACCTAATTGGTGGATATAACTGCCATTAAGGTCCTATGCGTTGGATATTTTAGGCCAATTAAATATATTTTTCATGCTCGCTGCAATTTTGAATTAAATGTAATGAACTGTATTATGTCCAAAGTCATGAAAATAAAAATACAGAACAAAACTATCTATGTTATACATCATTATTATAAACGCGTTGTTTGTCAGGGTTATATAATATGTCCATTGTCGCAGATATTTGGACCCGTGAAGATCCGGGGTAGAATAGGTCTTCAGCAACCCATGCTTGCCGTAAAAGGTGACAATGCTTGTCGTAAGAGGCGACTAACGCGATCGGGTGGTCAGGCTCGCTGACTTGGTTGATGCATGTCATCGATCCTAATTGTGTAGATCGACGCTCATGATGTCAATCACTGGATTGTCTGGTCCAGACTCGATTATTCACTGACTGCCATCATATAGCTGGAATATTGCTGAGTGTGGTGTTAAACAAAAACAAAAAATCATAGATATATGACATAACTGAAATAATGTTCACAGCGGCGTTAAAGCCAACTCACTCTTTTCAAGACCTCATGCTGATCGTAAGAACACCCTAAAGGGACATCTGGTGGGCAGGATATATGAGTCTGGATTGTGTGTCATCATACCCTGACGGCGTCGGGCATTTATCGTGCTATCGACCATGCGGTTATCGTTTACAGGACGCCGTGACATATCTGCAATATTGCTGACTCAGCGTAACCACCTACAAACAAACAAACAAACAAACAGCACCATTCATCTTCATCGTTCAAGTGTTGAAAGTAGTTGCATGGATGAGTATTGCCCCTGTGTCTCCTGTCGTCGCTTTGCGGGATTTGTAAGTTGCTTAATGACTAATTATGTATGTTATTATTGTGATGATGTTTATTCCTCGTGAATATACAGGTGAAACCGAAACGCACGTTATGCATCAATATGTTAGTCACTGATATAACGAATTCCATTCGACCCTAAATCACTTCGTTGTAGCCATACTTTTATAAATGAAACTCAACCGTTTTACCATTTCGGCAACTTCGAGATCAATGAATACGGCACTCTCGCGGAATTTGTGTTTCCACATAAAAGGAAATGCGCCTTGCTTAGTCATATAAATGATATAATAAATGCGTTATTATAACTGTATTTGTTTTCAAATCAAATTGCTATGCGTACCTTATACACTTCCGGGCAAAACAAAGTATACGCTTGAAGATTTGACCAAAATACAACGTTATTAAAACGTTATCAGGCGGAAACAGTCGCCGCAGCACTGCAAACTTAAGGTCCAAAAACACAACTATGATACTGGCATCAAATGCATCACCATCGAAGAACCATTTTTGTTTGTTTCATTTTAGCCTCCATAAAACATGGTGTATACTCTCTTTTGCCCGGCAGTTTCTGTGTAAAACGGGAGTGCGTCTCGTTAGGCCTGGCCGGGTCGTGGGGTAGCACAGTGGTTAAAGCGTTCGCTCGTCATACCGAAAATACCCGGGTTCGATTCCCCACATGGGTTCAACGTGTAGAGCCCATTTCTGGTGGCCCCGTAGTCCTGCACCATGACCGTGGAATATATTTATTTTATGAAAAAACATAATCTAGAAATGCATACAAAAGCAAGTCTAGCCAGCTCAAGCTAGCTCTATTCCACATAGGGAATTTTTTTTTTTTTAGAGTCAAGAAGGATATTGTGTAATATAAGATTTCAGAGACTAAATGTTAGTCTAGTGGCCCCGCCGTGATATCGCTGTAAGTACTTTGTATTCATGAGGAAACATATAAAAAAACATCACAAGAAAAAACGTTTCACAGACAGAATTTTGTTTAAGGGAAGAATATGTACAGGTGCATGATCCATTTTAGCTTTGCGTGTCTTTCTTTGTACAACTATATACATAAATATGTGCTCGGTGCCAAACCCGTGCCATGTCCAAGCAAAATCAAAACCTATTTGAAAAAAACTTACTTTTTAATTGTATAAATACAGGCAACAAAGCACTTTCGACAATCATAAGAAATATCTGCTGAAAGCAAACACCACTGTAGGATACCGACTTTATCATGTGTTTGTGAATCACTATCAAGTCACTATCCTGCGATGGTACCAAGTTTTCCGAAAAGGTGAGCGTATCCTGCCCCACCAGTGCCACCCGTCACAAAACCACGCAAGGGCAAGTCAACTGTGCACCTAAAACAGCACGGGGACATACGCTATATATATACGCAATTGCATCGAACATAATATATCTAACTGATAACACAAATTTGGAAATGTCCTAATTAACCAAGTTAATCATGTTACGCGAGACCCAAATGATATAAAGGTTTTGAGCGGAGGGGTAGCCTAGTGGTTAAAGCGTTCGCTCGTCACGCCGAAGACCCTGGTTCGATTCCCCACATAGGTGCAATATTGCCATGATATTGCTGGAATATTGCAAGAAGCGGCGTCAAACCATACTCACTCACTCACTCACTCACTCACTGATGTAACATGTGACTGACCGTATGTCATCTTACCCCGACAGCGTGGGAAAGTTGTCATCATATCGACCAGTGGTGCTCCCAATCCAGGCTCGACTTTTGACAGGCCGTGTAATCTCTGGAATATTGCTGACGGAACACAACACACAACCAAACAAAAAATAATATTGATGATATATTACAGATATAATGAAATGTAACAGTATAAATGATATATTACATGTTTATAGTGAATAGAGTCTCAACGACGAATCTCAAGAACGGAACGTTGTCAAATTGTACATATGGCGGATGTATCTAAGGTACTTTAAGCCTCTTCACACCTCGATGAGATATCACGCCGCGAGTAAAGTACCTAATTTATACAAATATTTTGACTTGTTGCACGTGCAAGGTCATAGGTTGATCTGTATTTAAGCTTTGCTGATGTTTAAACGGATAAACGGGGGTCGCCCAATACACGGCGTTGTTTGAAGGGGATTTAACCCTCATAGTATTTGATCAGTGCTACCGCAGCAGACCTACAATGGCAAAAGTGGAAACATATTTTCGCCAACTTAGATATTTTTTTAAAACATTCTCCATACCTCACGTGGTTAATTAATTAAAAAAACCATTTGGATAAGATAAATTACACGGCAGCTGAAAACAGGCTTTATCAATTATAGCTTTTTTCAAGGATCACCTGTACATTAAGCAACGTCTCCGTATGTATAGATTATTGATGTACGTAAGTATTATGTATAATATGCGATCCTTTGAGTGTGTGAATATTTATGAATTAATGCCGATGTGATTAATAATAATTTATTTGACGTTTATCGTTTCCCTTTATAGTAACGATATAATAGTTTTAATAAAACTCTAAGCGAGCCTCACAAAAATGATTTTACTGGTTTAAAAACTCACCACGTGCCGGGTGTCAGTACTGTCCGTGGGGTTTTCAGTGTGAAAGTATTAATTTTATCATGTCTAAGTTCGTTCCTTTTCATGAATCAGCTGTAGTAATTAAAACAATTTTTTTAGTTATTTAAATGCATGTTTAGAACAAGATCTAAAACATTATTTCATTGAATTACAACACGGCACAGTTCATATACCTGTGTATATGTGGTTGAGCTTTAATTGAAAAAGGTGTTATTCACATATACATTACGCATGTTACGATAAATCGACTTCGTATTTAATGCCAACTTTTAACAACGTAATTATTATTATTATTATTATTATTATTATTATTATTATTATTATTATTATCATTTAGAGAGACATGGTCAGCATAACCTTACAAAGCCATTTCGATAAATTAAAACACATTTAATATATCTGTACATGCTTTCAGGCATATTGATTGAAAAAAGATCATCCGTGCATACATACCTGCCTCTTGTTAAATCGACCCTGGAATTTTGTAAAGGGATTAAAATATTTTCGGAGGTTGGGATATATATAGAGAAAACTTCTAATAATCGGTTCTTAGGGAGTTGACATATCTTTTGTAGTTTGTCGATGAGAGATTTTACCCAAATGTCCGAAATTGAGATGATCAGCAAGCAACTATGCGGTTTGTTACCTTCCAATCGGTGATTGCATTTAGCAACACATAAAAGAATATTCGCTATTCTTCTTTCTCAAATAATATATTATGTAAACATGATATTAATATAAATGATATTTTGTGTTACAATAGTCCCGTTTTGCAGCGATATGTTCATGTGAATATTGAGCAGATAATATCAGCGATACAGTTACATTCGCAGGGATTCAAAACCTAAATCTGTTGAAACAATCAGGGAGTATATATGCCCTCAACGTGCGAAAAAAACAAACTACAAGTAAAACAAACGTGAAAAATTGTAAATAAAAATCACAGATGTGTAGAAATTAATTCAAATTCTGATGCGATAATATTTTCCACATCAGTAATATATAAAGTGTATGTTTTTAGAATAGCATGGTTTATCGACTTCTGCACTTTCATTTCCGAGGTACAGAACATTGTGAGAACATTATACATTCACACGGTGGCTTTCGCAATGTTTTTCCGCTGGCCAATATTTTGCTTATTTAGTGACAAAGTTCTGAATTGATTACAAGAAAGCAGATGTAACAACACGCAAAAAATGGATTATAAAAAACAAAAACTGTCGAGGCATAAGCATTACTACGTCGAAACTATGTTTTCTGAATTTTAAATGCATTTTTGTATCACGAAATCTTATTTCCATACCTACATGGTTGCGTGAAATTATTCCATAGTGTTCTTTTCAAACTTAAATATTTAAATTTCAATATGAAAACAGCAGCGGTCGTGTTTTAGGGAACGCATAACAGACACACAAGATAAAAAGACAAGTTAAGCGATTTCATAACTGTGAAACATACAACTTGAAATCGACACTAAAACGAAATCAGCATGTCATCACTTAAACTGTATTTGAAAGCCAAAGAGGCCGATTGTAGGCGTGTTAGTCATCGTAAATTCAGCGGATAGAGAGGTAGATATTTCTCGCGTCTAAGCCAACAATATGGCTACAGTATGAGAACAAGTATTTATGAAAGAAAATTAACAGGCGTTAAACCTTTCTCAATACGCTAGGCATAGTCGAGGAGCCTCACTAAACAAGTCGCGATAGTAAGTTTAATACCAAACAGAAATAACATTAAACACAGTGGAAAGTAGGTAAACCTCGGCCGCATTGTGTTTCCCACTGTTAAGCATCATTGTCGTGTACGCTATTGTAGACGGGCGCAATCCCGCTGCGCAACAGAATCAAAAACCCGGTCCTCCGCCAAATATCACCCCAGCATCAAACGATCCCCCGGGACTCTATTCTTTAAGGTGGGAGACAAGTTTTGACGGAGGGGTGGATCAACTCCGACTCCCAGCTGGCAGTCTGTGATCTGTGGTCTGAGATCTGTGAAGGTCTCTGGGGTAAAGCATTCCTTGAAACTATATACGCTTGTGAATGTCCCAGCTCTATATATCATAACTACACATAAGGCGAGTACAAAAAAGCCTAAACACCGGGTACTGTTTTTCATATGAAAAAAAGGTCCGTTTGAAAATTATAGGATTTTAAAAATGATGAAGGCTCAAGCTACACCTGTCTTGCTTGATTCCTATTTTCTAAGATCATTTGTTAATCGACCCTCAAAGTTAGCATCTGTGCCTTGTGGACATGTGTGTCTTGTTAGCACCATTGCTGTTCTTCGCGGAGTCCTTTTAAAACACATTTAGAAACATTCATTGACAAACAAAATGTAATACACGTGAACTCTCAAAGACACCACTTAATTTTTGCACATTTTCGTCTCATTTTTGACATTTGAAAATATATAAAAATTAAAAGATAAATAATCATGATCATCGGAGTAGCTTCAATAAATCATAAATCGTTTTCAGTGTATATACAATCTCATAATTAGCTCTAGCATTATAAATTGTTGAAAACTATACCTTTTTCAAGTTTTTATTAAACGAATAAAAATGAGTGGTCTGAATATCAGTAAGCCTTTTTAAATAAGCCAATTTACTTTAGATAGATGTAGTTGAAAAGGTTAATCGGATGATAAAGAATCCATTTATTTCAATATTTTGCTTAAGTGCTTAAAAACGCCAAAACACTGTTTAGTTTCAATTGTGTTAAGACATGGACAAATATCAACAATGTCCATCAAAGGGAATTAAGTGCCAAAATGTCTCAAGTTAATATCAGAAAATCCGACTGGATGACAAGCAATTGTAGAAAATTAGCCTACGTGGCGGTGCTTGTCCCGTATTATACCATGAGAAACTAATTATATTGTAGTGGACCGTCCCAAATAATGCCCAGTGACTTCACGAGCACGCGACTAGAAAATTAAAATGCCCCGCGTATTGTTCTTTTAATACTGATTGAACGTCCCGACGGAAGTTTATCAAATTAGAATAATTGGGCCAAAATTTATGTAGCTTCTTCGTGGTAATATGACAATTTTATGTTGTGAGTTATCACGTTTTGTGGGCTGTCATTGTTATTCTTGGCGGGATGAATGTTTTGGACGTGTTATTGTGTCACCTTCTCTTCAATGCGTTATAGAAACGGCAGAACAAATGATGAACAAAGTTGATAAAACACCGACAAAGTGTACAACTTGTATTAAAACACTTTATAAATTTAATCATTTAACATGCTGTATAGAGTTACACGTGAAAATGGTTTTAATTGGAGAAGAAAAAAAATTGACAACCAAAGTTGATAAAACACTGAAATAAATAAATATATATATATATTGTGTAAGAAAAGTTAATAAAAGTAAGCATTCAACATGCTGTAAAGTTTTTACACGTGAAATTGCTTTTAATTGGCAAAATATGTTTTTGATGTGAATTCACGGGCCAAATAGTTAATCGACTTATCATATACATCCTCGTTTTATTATGGAATCAAAGAGCCATATGGTGTCAAGTAATGTCGATTCCAGCTACTGTATTGAAATAATTAGTCCTGATAAAATCAAGGTTGTATATGATCAATATACTGTGCTCGTGGTCGTTGGGTGCCACAAGGGCCTTGACGTTTTAATTTCAGTTATTGATGTAGAGTTTATGACGCCTACGGAAATGTATATTTTATCACCATGCTCTGTCAGATTTGAGTTGATTTTATTCCAGATACTTTTTTTAATTATTTCATTTAAGATACTTATTTTTTGTGGTGTTTGTGAGTGAAAAATCTGTTTCACAAATCGTTCAGCTTGTTCGTTTTGATTGAACTACCGGACATAAGACATGTACACTGTTTGATGGTGGCGAAGAAAGAAACAAACAAGAAATGGTTTATCAATGGTTATATGTTTGATACGGGTATCATAGTTATGGTTCCGACAGCTGATTTAAGTCCAGTTACGTTCAGGTAATATTTGTAATGTTTTGTTCAAATCCAATTTTCAAGTGTATACTTTTGCGGCAGTTAATGAACATTGTCTAGTTAAAACGCTTTTAAAACATGTTAACTTGTGATTAACTAAATAGGATGCAGGAAAAAAAATTAAAAAAATTAAAACACGCCCACATAATTTAGAACACTCCGAATATCAATTGTAAATATATATATTTTTAAGACGCAATACGTATATAGAAATAT